TCTCCTCCAGGATCATGACAGCAAGGTTCAACTCAAAAGGAAGAAAGGTCACAATCATACAATGTTATGCACCTACAAATAATGCAGAGCAAGAGAAAAAGGAGGATTTCTACAGACAACTTCAATCAACACTGGACAAGACGTCAGTTGGCGATATCAAAATTCTAATGGGCGACATGAATGCCAAACTGGGAGGGGACAATACGGGAAGAGAACTAACCATGGGTCGAGAGGCGCTAGGTGAAATGAATGAGAATGGAGAATTGTTTGCAGAATTCTGTGCATTCAACGATTTGGTGATTGGAGGCAGTGTGTTCAGGCACAAGGATATCCACAAAGCGACATGGACTTCACCAGATGGACACACTAAAAATCAAACCGACTTTATCTCAATCTCAAGAAAATGGAGACGCAGTCTACTTAACACAAGGTCAAGAAGAGGAGCAGATGTAGGTTCAGACCACTATCTAGTGCAAGGAACCTTCCAAATCAAGTTAAAAGCCTTCAAGGAAGCTGGTGATAGACCTCAATTCAAGTACAACACTAGGAAACTGAAGGATGAAACTACAAAGGAGATCTTCAAAGCAGCCATCAAGACAAAATGGGAGACATCGAGGAACATCCCTGAAGAAACCTGTGTGGAAGAACACTGGAAGTCTTTGAAAGCTGTGTGGAAAGAAACCTGCACAGCCGTATTAGGAAGGAAGAAGAAAGAAGACAAGGAATGGATCTCGACGGATACCTGGAAGATGATAGAGGAGAGGAGGATGGTGAAGCAGAAGATAAACCAGTGCAAGGATGCTCAACGACAAGAGGAACTGAGCACAATGTATAAAACACTGGACAAAGAAGTGAAGAAGAGTGCACGCAAAGACAAAAGACACTTCTACGAAACACTGGCAAGTGAAGCAGAACAGGCTGCAGGTAAGAGAGACCTGACGACATTGTATCAAATAACCAGGTTGCTATCAGGGAAGAGACCAACACAGATGAAACCAATAAAAGATGAAGAAGGAAATTTAATTACAAAAGAAGAGAAACAGAGGAAACGATGGGCCGACCACTTCAAGAAGCTCTTGAATCGACCACCACCTGCACTTCGTCCAGAAATACCACCTGCAGCCGCTGAATTACAAGTGAACATAAATCCCCCAACGAAAATGGAAGTCCTGAACGCCATAAAGCTACTGAAAGGTGGGAAAGCAGCAGGACCAGATGGAATCCCGCCAGAAGCACTGAGAACAGATGCAGAGACAACAGCGGACATGCTCACACCACTATTGCAGAAGGTGTGGAAGGAAGAGAAGGTACCTGACGATTGGAAGAAGGGTTACCTTGTCAAATTGCCGAAGAAGGGAGACCTCAGTGCTTGCAAGAACTGGCGCGGAATCACTCTCCTGTCCACCCCAAGTAAAATATTAAGCCGCATCATCCTGGAGAGGCTTAAAGACGCACTGGATTCAAAACTGCGACCGGAACAGGCAGGCTTCAGGAAGTACAAATCATGTGCTGACCAAATTGCAACGCTTCGTATCATCATAGAACAGAGCGTAGAATGGCAATCAGCTCTATACCTCAACTTCATCGACTTTGAGAAGGCCTTTGACAGCGTCGACCGAGAAGTAATTTGGAAACTGCTTCAATACCACGGAGTACCGCAAACCTTTATCCGCCTCATTCAACAACTATATGAAGATGCCACATGCCAAGTAATCCACAATGGGAAGCTCAGTGATGCCTTTGAAGTGAAGACAGGAGTGAAACAAGGTTGCCTACTATCCCCCATGATATTCCTTATTGTGGTGGACTGGATCATGCAGCAAACAGTAGGCAGCGAGAAGAGGGGGATACACTGGACGACGGAAAAGAACCTAGAAGACTTGGATTTCGCCGATGACTTGTGCCTAATGTCACATAAACTTGAAGATCTGCAGGCAAAAACTAACAAGTTGACAGAAGAGGCAGCTAAGACGGGACTTCAGGTGAATATAGAGAAGACAGAAGTGATGAAGATACCGCACCACCACCATCAACAACAACAACAAACTCCAATCACCGTCAACGGGAGAAACTTGAAGGAAGTAACCTCCTTCACTTATCTAGGAAGCACTGTTTCAACTACAGGCGGGACGGACGAGGACGTCAAAGTCAGAATCGGAAAAGCAAGACAGGCGTTCATTAGCCTGAAACCAGTGTGGAGATCTTCTGCACTCAGCATGCGGAACAAGATACGGATTTTCAACACCAACGTCAAGTCAGTGCTCTTGTATGGCTCAGAGACTTGGCGCGTCACGAAAGGTATTTCCAATAAACTACAGACATTCATCAACAACTGCTTACGCTCGTTGCTGAAGATCAGATGGCCAGAAAAAATAAGCAACAAGGAACTCTGGGAACGAAGCAACCAAGAACCTATCACGCAACAAATATGCAGGAAGAAGTGGAGATGGATTGGGCATGCACTGAGAAGGCCGACTGAGGACATCACGCGTCAGGCCCTCGAGTGGAATCCCCATGGGAAGCGACGAGTTGGACGTCCGAGGGTGACATGGAGGAGGTCATGCGAGGAGGAAATGAGAGCTTCTGGGCTGTCGTGGAACCAGGTTCAAAAGATCTCAGAGAACAGAGGTCACTGGAGGCGTGCTACTGAAGCCCTATGTTCCACTAGGAACCCAAGGGACTAATAATAATAATAATAATAATGCTGATTAAGTTGGAGATAATGTGTGCATACATCTACACTACTCAGGTCAATCTGAGCCATGTCTCCTAGAGTCTCCAACTACTGGTTTCTGTTGTCGTGCAGACTTCAACCAGGAAGTCTGTGTTCCCCTACATAATAATGATAGTAGTAATGGTACCAATAATAACAAAAGTGATAATAATAATCGGTTTATTCCAAACAACATTATGGAATTTTCAAAAGATAATATTTCAACAAATACGCTCCATGTAAAATATTTTAAAAGAAATAATTATTGCATTTGAATAATGTTAATAATAACGGCATTAAAGGCACCAATGTGAAACGGGCAGCTGGTGTTACATTAGCGTCTGGTCTGGACTTGAGGATGAACACAAAATCGAGTGGTAGTTCAATCAACTAGTACGAAAATCTAAAAATTTGAGCATTTGGTTGTCCATTTTCATCCAGCGTAACGTTTTTCTTTGTTTCATGCTTAGCTTGAGGAACGACAGTTTGAAAACACTTTAAAAAGGTGTGAGAATACATGATGAATTTAGAAGTAATAGTTAGAAGATTAAAACAAACAAAGGGGAAAAATTTGCTGAAATATATCGGCGAGAAAAAACTTTTTTTGGTGGCCAAGGTTTAAGTAGGCCGCCAACAGTCAATGACTTCACAGATTGATGTCATGTTTTAGTCTGGCTATTTTTAGCCATTTTCCAGCCTGAACCTACTTCAGCTAACATTGTTCGAGGTGGCAGATGGTGACTAAGCATGCCTAACACATGTTTCAACCACCTGAGTCGAGGAAGGTTCACAACTTCATTGACTCGCTTTCATCTTCTACCTAAAGCTCTGAACCTAACGTCCACGTTACTACAATTTGTACTTAATTAGTTGTCATTCATAAGCACTGCTATCCTCTAAGTCTTCACTTATATAATAATAATAATGAAAAATACCTAAGGTTAATATTTCTGAATTTGAAATTACTATTTTTCCCATTTAATTACATTATCATATGTCTTGTATCACTAGTCTAGTAGTTAAGCGGTTCGGGTTGTTACTGACTCCAGTTAGCTTTTAGACATATTGCTGTGTTTATCTAGATATCTTTATGAATTTTAAATGAAGTGGGTAGAACACAGGGAAAGTATGATTTGTTCACGTTTTTTTATGGTTGTCTTGCCTACCTGTTGCATCTCCACAAGTTATGTCAAATGTATGCTGCTTATGTGTCAATTTTTTTATTCACCCAAAGTATAGTTAATACGAATTTTACCAGTATTTAATAGTTGCCTGTTCTTAAAATACATGAATAGATGTTTGGGTGGTTAGATTCCTGGTTTAAAAAATATTCTGCATATGTATGTATTGAACATCAGATCTGAAGAAAGCGCATCCCATCCCTACCATTCGAGCCCTTCTGAGTAGGCACTCTGTCTATAGTTCTTATAATTGAGTTTGGTCCAGCAAAGAATGAGATGTTCCTAACTAGATAAGTAACTTATATCATGGTGTACTGGATTGTGTTTCAGTCAAATGGTGGGAAACCCTGAATATAGATTTCGTTTTTGCTGATGCTTTTGTGCAAGACGTATGTAGCTTTATTGAATTTCTCCGAAGGAGTGCTAAAAAGAGCCAGCAGCTTCTTCCGAACTAATGGATGCACGTGAACGCATCCCTTCAGGCCCCGAGTACAATGAAGGGTGGGCACAGCCTAAAAGTAGACTGAGAAAAAGTCTACGCAACGACTGCGAACAGTGGTGATCAGCGAAGGCTAAAGAGATGGAAATGGCAGCAGGGATTGGTAACAGTAGACAGTTATTTAGACTTACTAAGGAAACTGGGGGAAAAAGGTCGACTGTGGTTATTGAGACCATAGCTCGCATCTGCGACTGACTCGCAGGTGAGACGACTGGAACTATAGATAGAATACTTCGAGGAACGGCCACCATTGCGTTACCCGCTTTCCAGTCGGATCCTGAATGGGACATAGAGATAGGCGCCCAAACACTAGGAGAAGTTGAGAAGGCGGTAGGTAACCTGAAACGAGGAAGGGCAGCAGGACCAGACGGACTAACTCCTGAGGTATACAAGGGTGGTGGTAGAGTGTTCTTAGTCAGGTTAACGGAAGTGTTAACCAGTATATGGGAATCAGATATGATAGCCTCTGACTGGTCTAAATCACTGATTATCCCAGTCCTCAAGAAAGGCGAAAAGTCCTCTTGTGATAACCATAGAGGAATCAGCCTGACGAACATAGTGTCTAAGATTCTAGGTCCCATAATTCTCCGACGCCTGAGTGGAGCTCGGGAACAGCGAGCCCGAGAAAACCATACACGGTTTAGACCCGACCGCGGGTGTATTGGCCAAATATTCACCCTGCATCAGGTCCTGGAACATAGGCACACTTACCGATGCCTGACACTAGCTGTATTTCTCGACCTGAAGGTGGTGGTATTCGACTCCGTTGGTCGAGAAGTTTTATGGCAATGTCTCTCACTGAAAGATGTGTCGAGTAAGTACACCACCTTATTGAAGGTTTCTACTCGAACACTTGCGGGCATGCTAGAGCCTATGGTGAGATGTCCAGGTAGCTGTACTCGTCGAGCGGTGTCCTTCAAGGGTGCCCATTGTCTCTATTCTTATTCAATTTTGTCATAGATATTTTTATAGAGGTCTGTCTCCCTCTCATCACCTGACTACACAGAGTTTGACCTAATCGCAGGAGAATTTTCGTTAGACCTAGAATATGCAGATGACATAGTCCTGTTTGGTGAAGACTCTGACAAGATGCAGAATCTTCTGGACACTGAGTGGCAATTTGAGAATGTTTGGGATGCGTTTCTCGCCACCCAAATGCAAATTGTTGCTCCAGGATTGGTCTTCAACGGTGCCATGGCTAACAACAGAGTGTAGTGATTGAGTGTGTCTACCACTTCACTTACCTGGGAAGTAGGACCAGCCCAGCCCTTGTGGCTCAGTGGTCGATGAAATTTCTGCACGAATACAAAAGGCTTGATTGACTTTCGCCAACTTACGCCACCTGTGGCGCCGCCGTGATATCCGATTGTCTATTAAGGGTCGCATGTACTGCACAGCAATCCGGTCTGTTCTACTGTATGACTGTGAAACATGGCCATTGAAGGTGGAGAAAGACATGAGAAGGCTTCAGGTGTTTGACCACTGTTGCCTTCGTAGTATAGGCCGTATTCGGTGGTGTCATCAGGTGAGTGACGCAGAAGTCAGGAGTAGAGTTTTAGGGAGAAGAGGTGAGTCAGCTGACGAGGTTGTGTACCTTCGTCGACTGAGATGGTTGGGGATGTGTTACGTATGCCTAGTCGCCGATTACCTCATCACACAATGTTGGTTGAAGTAGTTTCAGGCTGGAAAAAGGCCCGAGGTGGTCAGTCTAAAACACGACTTCGACGTATGAAGTGTTTGACTGTTGGTTTGAGCCGTGTATGAGGGGTGATGCAGACTGGGTGATTGGGGTCCGCGGGACAAGGAAAGTCAGTGGTTGGAGACTCTAGGTGATGACATGGCTGAGAACCGATGTCATTGGCGCAGATGTATACATACGTTTTCTTCATCTTAATGAAGCTGTACCGAATCTCACCAGTTTTCTCATTCTTCCTTTCTCTCTTTTCGTACTTTATATTTCTTCTGACTGCATCCCCTTATCTTCCATTTGCGCCTCACTGCCTTTTTACTTCATGTACTGATATGAGCTGTGGCAATTCGGACCGTTACGCAGTAATCCCTGGTCCTAGGTTGATCTGGATGGATGGATGATAGATCTATCAGTTATTTCCAGTCAGCGGTAGAAACTATGGCAGTATCTTTGTTGCCGTCTGCCTACCAATTCTTGTTTCAGTTTATTTTCAAACTGTTACTCCTATGAATATGTTCTGAAGACAGATGACTAGTCTGATATTATTTCATACAAACATGCAGGGAATTGTTGCTGGTTTTCTGATAAGTGCATTGCTCATAAGTAGTTTTTAATCTATATTACAATATTAGTTCCGTATTTTTGTGTTTAGGTCTTCTAATGTATTTGGTATTTTCCTTTTTTTCTCTTGTTACTTTAAATAGCGTGTGCATTGGCCGATATTGCCATGAAACCTTCTTCTCCACGTAACTCTCAGTTTTCTAATCCCGTCCCTTCATCAGTTGTCGTAGATACAACTGGTCAAAGTGTCAGCCTGGCACAAAGTGCGCAAAACGCTTCTGATACATGGACATCGAGAAGCGGATATACTGGTAACTCACCAGAACAATTAAAGCAACGGGCCGCACTGAAATGGATAAAAACATTTGTTGAACTAGACCCACACCATATGCTTCCGTATGCATCAGGTATTATTGGTGCTGTTCTCCCTTGTTTTATGCTTTGTGGGCCTTCTGATGCTATAGAAGAGAGACGAGGTTAGTTTTTATAATTACCCCATAACACTATCGACCAGTAGTTTTCTGCATTATGCACAATTTTTTTTCATGTTGCTCAGGTTGTGTTTGCAACACTAATAAACTTATGGTTTAGCTTTCTCAGCATTACCTATAGACTTGTTTGTCATTTTAACTTAAAACAAGAAGGATGTGTTAAAGTTTGTCACTGAAGAATATGTCGAGGTGAAATGACGTCGATGTAACTCTTAGAAAGAGGAAGATCAGACAATAGTAATGATATTGTTGTTAAAAATATTGGTGCAAATATTGATCGAAATAAGAAAAAGAACTACAACAGGATTGGTACTCGTTTCCATTTCCAACCATATGTGATAGAATGTGAAGCCATTAAGTTATAGATTCTGTTGTGACCCACTCAAGAAGTCAGAATGCACAACCAATTTGTACATTTGGCATGGTATACAGCTACCTCTTTACTTTTTCTCAACCGCCTCATTAACAGCAGATGGTATGGCGCGTGGATACCACTAGAACCGCACATTTAAAACGTGTAGAAACTAAGGAAAGGGATATTTTAACATAGATCAATCAGCTGAATAACTATCATCATCATTTCAGTTTTGGGGTTTATGGGGATTGATTGATTTCAAGGTACTACTCATCACGGACTGACATCAGTCGTAGGACCATTGGAAACCTAGGAGAATTAGAAAGTTGTTTCATCCTAGTATGGGATTCTTAATCGGTGCGTATCCATGAGCCAACAGAGATTGAACCCAAGACCATCAGGTCTCATGGCAATCACTTTGACCATTCGGTTACTGGGTCAGAATCAAATGGTCAATATTTTCTTACTTCTGTTGACTCGCAAAATGTCATCGTTGAGTATTTACCCTCACGTCTGATGCTTTGCCTCACAAGTGGCGACTTATCATTGGAACTTCGGGATATGCGTCTCGAAGCTGCTCAGTAGTGAGCAGTGGACAGTGTTTCAGTTTGTTGGTTGGTTTTAGGTTAGTTGTCATCACAAACCTACATTTGTTGTCGGGCTCTGCCTTTAAGTCTGTCTGTGACCCCATGAACCAGATTTGAAACCTGCCTGACTTCTTCGGATGCGCTGTCCTTGATCTTCGGCTAGCCTTTGAATGTTTATAAAACTTAGGATTTTTGACAGGGTATTCTTTAGGTTGATTCTTCTCTGGTTGTCAAATAAGGAATTCTGTCGTTTCGCGAAGACTAGGGTGATTAGGGTTGAAACCAGTTCGAGAGAATCGTATCTGATTCCCATACACCATCTATTGCTTTGTTATTTTGATCAGTAATCCTGGGCAACCGTCTTTAAATGTCTTTGGCATCAGCCCATCAGAATTAGCTGCCCTTTCTCCGCTTCGAGGTTATGTACAGCCTTGTTAGTGTTTGTGATATTATATGGCAATGTTCCATTGAGGATGCGGTCATACAGCAAGCAGTCGGAGACAGAGTGGAAAGCGGTTGAGCTGTGGATCGAGATACTCGACTAATCGTTTCATTCTTCTTACGCGTGAGTGAATCACAGAACCATATTTCCTCATTACAGTTTAACTACCAGGCAAATTTTATCTTTTCTGTAGTTTCCCTAATAAATCTAAATAAATGTCCGGTATTATCGCTCTCCAATGTCTTTTTTTCCGCGTCGGTCTTCACTGCCCACCACTTCTCAACGTCATTGCGTAAACGTCTTATCAGTCTACAATTAAACTGCTGCCACTCCTCATTGGTCTCAGATCCTGAAGGAATGCGTTCACATGCGTCTGGTAGTTCAGATTATTCTATTGATATGCAGCCATCCCATGTAGTATTTTTATGCCAGTAATTGACAGTCTTTACTGTTGTTTTTACAGGAGAGACTAGAAATGATGTCAAGCTTTTCCATGATGAGTAACATTTTTATGTCCCACAAACTGTCTGACCAGTTCCCTCTGAAAGCAGCTTTGAAATGCTTGCCGTTCAAATGAGGTCAGATAGTCTTCCAGCTGCGGTCCTCCTACTTCCGTCTATTATATACACGCTCTAACTAACACGTGGTCAGTGCACAAGAAGGTATTCTGAAAGGAGTGACAATTCATTGCCAATCCTCGAAGCAGTAACTGATAGCGATGTGTTCTATCTGCGTTCACTTTTGAGTTGAAGTTAGTGGTCACTACACCAGATAGGATTTTTAATTATGTGTTAGTTTTATTTCATCTAGAGATCGATGATTGTATGAGCACGGTTGTAGCAGGCGATGACTATTATCAGTTCAGGCAGCTGGGATTCCGGAAGTACTTCCAGATTACCCTTTTGCTTAGTCTTAGCCTTCTTGTTTTTACACTGTCACTCTGTACAACGACGACATGGGATAGTTTATCTTTCAGTAGGAGGCTAGATAGTTGTCAGTAAGACTTATCGTTCACTTCATCCAAACTGCAGTCAGTTATTGCATCTGTATCGGTAAAGTACTGTGAGGGTTGACGTTTATTTTATATTTCTTTTACCATTTTTATTTTTGGTTGAATTATGTTAATATGTATTCATATTGCTTGTGTGGATCTGTGGATTCCCGTGTTTGGAAGTTTGTTTTGAATGTTTTTTCACTGTACTGGTCATTTCGATTATTTTGTGTTCAGCTGGGGAGCTTATATATATATATATATATATATATATATGTTTATTAATTTTTTCCAACTGATGGTTGGTATTTTTTCTGTTCAAAGTTGCTCTTGAAACGGCTGTTTGCATAAACGAAACTCTTTTGAAAGCTGTTAGATTGTTCAATGCGTTTGAAGTGGGTAGTTTGGATGCTCATGAGTCAAAGATTTTCGATTCAGATGATTCTCACAGAGATCCTCGTAATTCCAGAAAGCAAATGGAAAGTGTAATGAGATTGTAAGTTTTGATCTGTGGGCTTTATGTAGAGTGTTTTGACGTAAAAGTTTTTGTAAAAAGTTTACAAAGTGTACTATGTTATGCTAATATGGGAAATATTTCCGCTGTGAGTCTTCTTCCCATGTGGCGAATTGTGTTTAGTACTCACAAACACGCCTGGGCCTGTGGGGAAGGAGATAACGGAGGCTATTCGACGTGAGACTTATTTCAAACAGTAGTGTGTTTTATCTACGGTTCTTTAAGAGTTCGTGTTTTCTAATGACGAAGTTACGGTACTTTATTTATCAATAACAGAAACGCTAAAGTCAATAACTATAACCTATTATTGTTGTCTACCTTATAAGATAAATAAGTAGAGATGTCAGTTGCCATAAAATATTTTGCAGTCAAATCGTGTGTGGATGAAAGTAATTTCAAAATAGAATCACTGGAAGTAATCTAATCTAACTAAAATCCAGTCACACACCAGTTCTTGAAATATGAGCACAAGAGTTTTTTTCCTATCGGAATGTCATCACTGGTGTCTTCTTTTTCGGTGACATTTAAGGGCATAACTACAAAGGCTTCTCGTCACCACAATGATGCCGTATCTTCGAGTCATGTGTCGTTCTTAGTTGGGCCAATTTTATTGGATTTTTTTATTTTTAGATTCTGTTCATTGCAAATATTTACCTTCTTTTGCAAAGTGCAAAGTTGTTGGATGTTGTGCTCCTTAAAAAACTTTTGTCTAGTTTACGTTATAACACCAGAAGGATTTCATTTATGATGTTCTATGTTATACTTATTACTGAATAGTTTGTTGGCATGCAACCCTGAGGTCTAGCGGTTTGGCCATCGTTGCATAATACACTCAAGTTCATCAAGTTTGTATTGGCCTAGACAGTCACTTCTTTGTTTTCCTTCAGAAAAGTATATTTGGTCACTGAGTTGTGTCTACTAAATCTTTTGTCACCGCCATTAATCGAGTCATGCCAAGCAACAAGGCTTAATTGCTCGGAAAGTGTGGCCTGAATTGCGTAATAGTGTATATTAGAGTTGAAGTTTCAGTATTACTGAATAAGTTTTCGGCACTGATCAACCTGTAAGTATGAGTTCCATATCTTTTGAACTCTACTGTATCCCAGTTTATGCCTACTTCAAGTGAGTCAGTTTTTATTCTAAATGACGTTCAATTCTGCTAATTTCAGTAAAACATAGTGATGAATAGTTAAAACATTCGCCTGGAATGGATGTTGTTCCAAATTGCCTCTTTGTTGCAATCCCCTGAGTCACTCGCGATTTTCTTGATTTCACGAATACTTTTTGTTTTCAGATGATGGAGAAATCATGAATTGAGTGTCTATTCTATTTAACTTTTCTGACAGTTCACAGGTTGAAAATCTGACCAGGCAAATTTCAGAATTCTCTGTTAACACTTCACTTCATTCTCAATTTGGTGAATCAAATGGACCGCAAATATTGTGCACAGATGCTATTTTAGAGGTTACCTTCCAACTTCTCAATAATTCGAGCTTGTTAACTCGTTTAGCAGCACTACGTTGGATCACTGTGCTTGTAGAAGTTTGTTCAACTGAAGTATTTTCACATGTTGATCGTCTTCTACCTGAGATGCTCAAACTAGTTTCTGATCCTGCTGATGAAGTACGTTATCAAAGTTCATCCCATCACAAATGATATCACAAGTTTTATTTTTAATCAACTTGAGTTATTTTCCTTACAGATGGTGCATTCTACCATTTGGTTGATTGGAAAACTTGGTCAGCATACAACTGTTGCTAGTAATAATTATCAAAGTAAAGAGTTTGTTATTGTACCTCAAGAACTTCTGAAATTACTGCAAGAGCCAGTTGCAGGAAATCTACAATCAAAAAATCAAATGGCCGGTATTTCTGTGGATACACCACCACAGGTGTTATCATCATCTACTCCAAACAAGTTCTGTTTACGGTTTCTCTTAGATCTGATTGATTTGTTCAACAAGGATTCAGATTTGTTACGAAAGCGTGGAGATATGATTATCACGTAATTACTTTCATTTGGTATTGGTGATGAATTATTTCCAATTCTCACATATTGTTTATACACATTACCTTTCCCCTTAACATAGTGCTTACCGAAATCAAATCTGGCGTTTAGTTACGTGTTAGTAAACTTTCTAACAAATCTAATGAAATATGAAACCTAAATTCCTGAGCAGCTTGCTGCAATCCACATCAACAAGCAAATTTAGGTAAAGTACTTCATTTTAACGAAGCAATAAAATGAAATTCAAGTTCACCAATTTCTTTGCATTTCCACAACGTACCGTCATCATTTCTCTCCTGGTAACCGAAGCTTCTGGGGGCCATTTTTTGATAGTTTTCCTACTTTTCAGACGGAAAAACATACATTTTAAAACTATTCACTACTTCCTAGTGCTACCTGGTTTTCAATGATTATCTGACTGTTTTTAGTCCTTGGTGAAAAACTGCCTGAAAATAATCACTTTTTTTTTTATAGTCCAAGGCATTATGATTATAGGCTTCTACATATTTTTGTGATAAGTTGATGCTTTTTTCGAATGCATGCTTGATGAGTCGGAAGTGAATTCCTATTGTATGTTTCTTTATAAACATTTGTGATATAGGGGGAGGGGAAGATGATGGAAGCATCTTTAAAAAATCTAGGATTCAACTTCACTATAGATTTTTGATTTCCGTATTCTCTTCAATATATTTCACCTGAAAACTTGTTAAGCTAATCATGATGTTTTTATGAAGAGGGTGGATAATCGCAAGCCTTAGGTTTCTAAGAAATACTGTTTTCAATTGCTAACATTATTCCATATCACTGTCATAAGATTTCGCAGGGTATTTTGCACTTCTATCGCTAATGACCCAGTTGATGTCAGTCTTTATTCTCAAATATTTGATATATTCAGTTATTTGGTGTTCAACAATTGTTTCATCATAGAGTTTTGAGATGACTTTTCTTAAGTAAGTTCAGTCCTTGAAATCATCGCTTTCTATATCTCATTATTTGTTCTTTTAGAAATGTATTATTTTTTTTCCATTTTAGTAACAAAACCTTGTCGATGAAATGAAATAAGCTCTTTTTAAAGTACAAAAGAGCATCTGTAGTACATTGTGTTTTATCAGTGATTGCTTTTACTTCAGGTACATTGACCACTAAATTCGAAAGATGACGTATTTTCAACTATATCCAAGGGGCTTTGTGCAACATTCTCAGTGATCTAGGGTGTGAACTTCTGAGGAATCGCACACTATAAAGGGAAAAATATTAGGGTGCTATATTGGATATGTGAAATTGCATTGAGTAATAGTGTCACTCAGAAGATATATCAGATATGCATTTAGTTTCGAAGTTTTAATAATGTGCTTTATATAATTTCCCTTTAGAGACCTCTGTCAAGTTCTCGGAGCCGATGTAGTTTATTCCACCGTTTCCACAATTATATCATATATCAAACCATTGGAATCTGCATTTGTACTGGTGCAAGCATTAAATAGGATTCTTTTAACTCAGCCGGTGTTACATAATTTCCGTGGGCAGTTACGTACAATTAATACGAAGGTAATTTAATACTAGTTTATTTTAGTTAAAAATGTGGTAATTTCTCTGGTTTAAGGACACAAAAAATGAATGATTCTGTCCTCTGTTACTGTCTGGTTATTTTCACTTTCCTACGTCAAAAGTTGTTCTTGCTGTCATTTTGGGGGTATTACTCACCCAACCAATGTCGATATGGGATTTGACGATACTGTTGAGCGATTCAAGTTGCCATATTTCAATTCAGTACACCAAATGTGGCACAAGAAAAAACGATGAGTGACAGAGAAATAACGAAGAAAAGCAATCAAAAGACAGCGAAAGTCATAGGAGGGGGGGGGGGAATATGAGGTGATGGTTAGGATAGGGATAATGTGTGAATACATATGCGCCTCTGCAATCGTTTCTAAAACATAGCACCTAGTCTCCAACAAATGGTTTCGGTCCTCATAGTGGTCGATATTTCCCTACCAACAGTCAGGGACCTCATAAATTATGTCCTGTTTTAATCTGACTACTTCTAACCTTTTTCCAGCCTAAACTTACTTCAACTAATAGTGTGAGGCAGGGGAGACGCTGACTAGGCGTACGTAACATATGCTTCAGGTATCCGGGTTTATTTACTTTTAGGACCTCTTTTGCCTTAAACTGTGCAACTAATTTCTACTCTGTTTAACTGGTGGTTCCACAGCACATTGTCACTACCATGAAGGCAACAATAGTTAAACACCTGAAGCCTTCATGTGTCCTGTACCATTGATGACCATGTATCGTAGTTGAACAGTATTACAGAGCAAACTGCATTGCAGTACACAGCCATTGATAGGGAGTCAGATATCACGGTGGTGCCATAAACAGTGTAAGTTGGTTAAGGTCAAACAAAGAATTTGTATTTATGGGGAGAATTAGTCGGTCACTCACCCAGTAGGGATGATTTGACACCCCAAAAATTCTCAAATTGTCGCTCAATCTGTTGAGAAAACTTTGCATCTTGTCAGCTTCTTCACCCAACAGGACTATCATCTGCCTACAAGCCTACTAATGAGTTTCTTGTGACAAAGTCAATCCTTGTGAAGTTAGGTGAGGAGAAGGAGACCTTCACATGCAGATGTTACGAAGCTAAATAAGAATGAAGAAAGTGGACATCCTTGATGGACAACACTCTGCGTAGACAGTTTGCCTGTTACATTACTATCCGCTTTAACGCGCTCACGGCTGTTCAAGTGGGGAGTTTGTAATAGAGTTATAGTCATTTCAAATGAACTCGGATTATCACGAAGATTGCTGCGGTAGCCGTTCGCCAGGATTTCACTGTTTGGATGACTTGGATTACATAGTATTTTATAAGCCGTTATTAAGTCACCACGTCACCTATGGCAGTTAAGATAGTAAAGCCCTAGTTCTTTCAGCCTACCCTCAGAGGGTTTTCACCTCATCCCCACAATACCCTTTGTTGCCCGCCTCTGAAATTTCTGTAGGAGGTTCACGTCTCTTTCCGGATATGTTGATACAGTGACCTTGTAAACCCCTAAGTGGGGTCGAATATGGGTCTTGTGCACCCGCAAGGGTAGTTCTGGAGTGAGGTCCACCTAGTTGTCTGGCATGAAGTGCACTATGAAGTAGGCTCTAGGGGGATCTCCTGGGTAATTGGAATTAGTGTCTAGCTTGTCGGTCGATATTAGTCCCCGATCTTTCTCCGTGATGGTATGGCATAGTTGCGCTCCACAGAGACAGTAAGATACTTCCTGAGAGTCAGAGACGCAGAAACACATGGTTTGACATTTGTACAGATCAAATGCCAGTCCATTATTATCCACCCACTCTGCAAGCAATCTGAGATCACTTTGTAGTGGACCTGATTCTGCTTCGGATGTCACAGCTCTCCATAACTTAAAATCGCCAGTGTAGAGTAGAATTGGGAAGCTGAGATTCGATAGAAGATCGTTCACAATAAAAAGAATAGCAGCGAACCCAGAATCGCTCCTTGTGATACACTAGATGACAATGTTCTCCAAGTTGAGCAAACCCTGTTGACTTTTGTGCAGAATTCTCCACCGCCTAAATAGTCCTGCAGTTAGGAGAGCACTTGAATACTGATACCCGTGCTTGATATTTTACGAATGAGAATGGTGTGTGGGATTGTATCAAAGGCCTCGGTAAAATTCAGGAAAATCGCATGAATTGGAACGACCTTCTGTCCCCCCTCACTTTGATGCTGCACCGATTTCCGTACGACAACCTGAGCTTTAAAAGTTAGTACGAATCAGTCAGCCTTGGACACCTGTCTCTGAGCCGTGGTATGTAACTAAAAGTAAACAACATGTCACAAAGCCAGTAGTATTTACAGTACCAACTGCCACCACTCCACGAAGAAGAAGATAAACTAGAGCCCTTGAAAGATCATTAAACTCTCACAGAGTGGAAGAAAGTGCAGACTAAGAGCCACGTAATCGTTTCTGACGTGACTTTGGCAAGGTTCAAAGCTTGGTAACGAGTAAGTAAAAAGAGACAGTCCCTACCTAAAATAGGTTTTGGTCGCTTAAAGATATGTTCAAATCAACAACGGGGAGGGATCACATTCTGAAGGATGCTCGCAGACTTCAACAAGCTGGAACGCTTGTGTGTAGCAGTTTGTCTCTTGCTGACGAATCAAAAAACGAGAGGCAGAAGGAAAACTAAAATTCAAATAAGAATCTTGAGGGGTGGGAGGGGGGGGGAAAGATACAGAAGTAGTGGGTTTTCGTGAAGCGAGATTTTGGCAACAAATGATGACGAAGCCGCTATGGATAGTGCGAAGACTCATTTAGATGGTTTTATCGCCTTGTGTATGGATGGACGTAGCCTCCCAAACAAATAGGCCTAGCTTATAGAAATCCAAACCAGGTCGGATTTCGATGATTCGAAAAATATTTGGGCATTGGACAAATGATATTCGTTATTTTGGGATTTATATTTTCGAATGAGTGCAAAACAAAATTAATTTACTTCAACTGATATTTTGCTGCACTTAGTGCCGGTAGCTTTATCAAAGTCACCGTAGGCCGGAATTTACAATTTCCAACCCAATATATATGATAAATTAATAAGTGTTCTTCTCCATGAATGATCCTGTGCCGTCAAATTGTTGAACGAAGATGATATCCATATGTAGTGTATTACTTGTGGGGAGTGTATGAATTACAGATTAAGATTTGAATGTACACATAAGGTGAAAGTTTCTGTCGCGCTTGTATGTTAGTTATGTCAGTATAAGGGGGTGGGTTGAGACCAGGGCAAATTATGTTCATTTTAGAATTTTTGACAGCTGATTGTTTTCCGACTACCTGACTGTGATATCAACGGAGTTTCCGTTAAGAAGCACTCACTCAAGATCATAGATCGCGATCTCCTTACATCGAGGTGTCAAGATTTGATCTCAGTTATGTGGCATTCGTGTGGGTTAAGCTCATCCGAAACACTGTGAAACAATTAGTCCCTTTAATAAATTTTGATAACGTTATTAGAAGACTAAGATTATTTGAAAAGTGTGATGTATTTGTGCAATATATTTCGAACAGTCTGATCACACACCTGTCAAGCCAATTTATATATGAAAATGAAAGATGAAAGGTCAAATATTATCAATACGAAAAGGTTGTGACACTGCTGTCTTGGTAATATAATGAGATAAGGATCACCAAGGTAAATTAAGTGAAACAATAAGTTATTTTTGTACACATAACGGCGGGAGCTTTAGTTTACCAATGACTAACGCGAATTTCAGTATGCGCCCCTGACCTTTCCTATATAATATCTTGAACGCTGTTTTCGCATTAACCTTATGATTCATTCTGCATTGGACGATTACTCGTCCCTATGTATGTGTGCCTACATATACATGTAAATTGGTAAGCACAGTGAGATGTGACGTAATCATTCATGCAGGGTTAAGGTTTGTGGAGAAGCAGGTGTTTTGTTGTCTCAACAATGATAAGCTGAGCTGTATAGTATATTTTGCTGATAACAGATTTTAATTGCTATCTCGATGTCACACTACTCGTTTCCCTCTGTATGGTACTTTAAGAAATATATTCTTTTTCGGGACCGAGGAAATTATAGACTTCGGGGTTAACTATTTTTATTACAACAGTTCATAAACTGCAATGGATATTCGTTCTCCATAAGTGCATCTGTCAGAAATTTCCTCTCATCATCCATTGTATCCGATGTACAAATACGTTGGATCCTATTGAATAAGCATCTTACTAAGCCTCTCATATATTTCATTGGACAAAGTTGTAGAAACTCAAGTCCTGTCCAAGGTGGCTTTCTATAGATTGATCGTCTGATAGATTCGTCTTCCTTCCAACACAATAGTGTATCAAGAAAAGCAAGTTGATGGTCATTTTCTTCTTCACACGTCAGGCTGATATGATCTCGTACGGTATTAAGCCTTCTTAACAACCCCCTGGCATCCTCATCTGTGTCACATATTACAAAGATATCATCGACATACCTTCTATAAAATGTGACATTACTGATAAAATCCTGAGCCAATAGTTGAATATGTGACTAGGTGTTACTTTTCTTTCTAAGTTTCTTATATCCTCTGATAGAACATTTCACTTTCGAAGGCGAATGCCTTCGGCAAATTGATGGTGCTGCTATAGGAAGTCCATTAGTACCGTTATTAGCTGATGCATATGTCACATTCTGAACTAATGACCTGGTACAGAATTGCATTTTTTAAAGTGTGCAACATTGTCAAAAGGGATTAATTTATTGAAATGATGGAATACACCCATTTAATCATAGGAAAAGACAAGGCGTGGTTTCAGCGAAGAAAATTTTTTCTTTTTGATGAAGTCCATCAACCTGGACAATTAAAAGTAAGTGTATAAAGACGAAAGAAAAATGCTGTTTTAAAGGTTCAGAGGAGGAATCCTTCATTTACTAATTTGTCACCGTTTTAAAATCAATATTTTTGTATTTACAATGTAAGTAAAGTCAGATAAATCGACTACCTATGTGATAACGTTTGAAATTGGCTACAATCAAGTCTTGGAGTCGTCAAATTTGTGTAAATATTCGTCTTATTTCATCTTCATTTAGATTGTCTTGTGTGACACTAAAGTTCCCTAAATAAGATGACGTATTATAATTGCGATTCTACTGCCTTTAGTTTCGATGAGGCTTCCTGCTTAGTTTTATAGTATCTAGGGATAGCTGACTAGGAAGATCGCCATATGTATCATCTACTGGGTGTATGTGTACATGTACTGGTGTTCTCAGTCGAATTTTTTATTTCGAAAAATTACATCATTCATTTAACTACTTGGTTACCAATACTAAGCATGAAAACCCTTGGTGATATGGTTACTAATTATACACGGTAAATCTCTTGGTTGAAAAGTTACCATAATACTAGTTTGTCGTTGGGACGGTACATTCCGTAACTGTACTACAAATGCTTTTGTTTACGCATAACGCTTGCCGATTCCTTTATTCTCCTCTCTGATCATTCTTCTGTTATAGGCCCAATGTCAGCTGTTCGAAAAACTTTATCGTGCTTGGTGTTATAATCCAGTCTCACTATTATCATTATGCATGCTTACTGAAAATTATAAACATTGTAGTCGTTTGGTGAAATCATTGTATCCTTTTACAGACAATACGTGCTCATGCAAATTTTCTTGAGCATGTATAACAGAGCTGTATTTAAATTTCACGTCAAACCTGTTATTGCCTGGTTGCTAGTTTGTTATATTGATAAGGTATTGATAATGATATTGTATATTGTTATATTGTATTGTTATATTGATAATGTATTTGGCACTCCTCTCAAGTGTTTTGATTCTTCAAGTTGGTATCCATCATGGATTGACACCAGTTGGAGGAACATTGGAAACCTGGACAGATGTTTCGTCCTAGTACAGGGTTCTTCAGCAGTGCGCACCCACGACCTCGCCAGGGATCGGACCCGTGGCCTATAGGTTGCATGGCTAGCGCGTAACCATTAAACCACTGGGTCGGAATTTAATGGTCCACATTTCCAACTTCTGTCAGTTCACGACAAAGTTTGTAGGTGTCTACTTTCGAAAAGTTCCAAACTGGACAGAATTGTATCTTTATGTGTGCCTGTTTTCTCAATTATCACTGGTTACTTAAATGGGAATACGACTCAATATATTCGCCAACCAGGTAGTACGATTAGCCTTCATGCAATAGTTTTCACTAACAACAAGGTCTTTAACCTTGTACATGGTTATTGGTTTTTCATTAGACACACTAGTGCTTCGAGAAGGGATATACATAAGTAGCATCAAATGATCAGACAGCGTTATTTATCACCCTTAACAGGGGCATGCAGTTAGTAATATGCAAAGTCAGACAATAAGTAAAGTATTTCCGTGAAATGTTACAGTTGGTCAACTTTTAAGTATTAAACCTAAATATTATTATACATCAGTATTATTCCTTAACCCACAATTTCTGCATTTCTACCTGACTTTATTTTTAAATAAGTGGAAATATTGTTATTACCGTTGAAATTTTGTGCGATATGGACCAATTAATTCAGATGATTGAATCACCAATATTTGCTAGTAAGATCATGTTATTTTTTAAGGTTTAGGTGATAGTCAATTGGTTTTGTTAAGCTATTTATGGCCACAACGCGTAAATCCGTTCATCAGAGGCTAACAGTTAAACAGAAGGCCATCGGAAAACTGGATTTGGAATGTCTAGTAGATTGTTTCTAGAATTATAAGGTGATTGCGTACGAACATAAAAAGTAATAGACGAGATAAAAAAGGTACGAAACAGTGATAGGGAAATTGAAATTTACAGTTTATGAGTAAGGGGAAGAGGATGGCCAGTAGTACTGATAAATAATCGAATTAAAAGATCCCAGGTGAAATGAGAGACTGGACGCACCTCTTTCCAACACAGAAATTGAACTTGAACTAATGAATTGTCAAAAATTCGGCTTTGTTCAGGTGGTGAGACTCCACTTCCGCCTTTCCTAACCTTTTTATTACTTTTCAGATCAGTATGCAATCACATTTTTAATCCCAGAAACAATTTACTGATACGTTCTAGGACAAATTTTTGATTGTGTTGATTTCATAGCCATTGATAGAAGAATCTACTCTTTGTGACTATAAATATATATGTAAAGCTTTTAAAAATGATTTTCTGATGCAAAAATTTCGTTCGCTGAATCGTCTTTCCTTAAGTTGTCGTGAATCAGTAAGACTTTTTCGTTGTGTGAGCTATTCATATCAAATCTATCAGAAGACATTCTTTATGGAATAAAGTTGTCATCAGTGAATTGGTTACCTGGTAGTTGTCCTTGTGAGAGTATGCTTTCCAGTTCCAACTGGATCCTGTCTAGATGAGTAATAATAATAATATCACGACATATGTAGTAGATGCTTGCTTTATCCTAACTTACAAACATTGATAACTAGGACCTTCAAATATGAAAGACAGTAATGAGGTAAAGATATGTTAGCGTGCGTTTCAAAAGTTGAAGTGGGCGTAAAGTATATGATGCTTGTGACTATGACCAGGTGTAAAATCTACCCATTCCTCATCAGTATCCATTTATTGTGCACCGTTCGAATATAAAAGAAATATATGTTGAGGTTTGCGTGGAAGATTTACGAAGTTAAGTATAGACAGTTCATTCAAAAATGTTGTTGCTTTTTCTTCACAAAAATTCACGAACGCTGACATGCATATACTGATATTTGATGCTTTGATTATCAAGTGGTAACGTTTTAGCTTACAGAATAGTGGAGTGTTCATATTTATGTATTACTTGTAGCGTCTGAATGGAGCAAGTAGTAACACCGAAGAAATCTTTATAACCCCACAAACAATAAAATACTCACTTCTCAGCATATTAGCTCAAATCATGTAGTTAAACAACAAGATGTTTTTTTTCCAGGTCTTCGAATGCATATGCTTGACAAACGATTCAGTGCAGATCTTCGAGAAACTCTATACTGCCTACTTATGTGTCTCCCACAAACAGATGCATTTCAGGCACTTTGGCGACGTTTACAATGTTTACCCCCTGTGGAGTGTATTTCAAATAACTCAGCGTAATTCTGTATTCATTTCATACTTTTACAATCCCCTGCTTTAAAAAAAAATAGTTTTCATGATTAAAAAAATTTAATAATAGTATTTCATATATATATATATATATATATATATATATATATATATATATATATATATATATATATATATATATATATATATATACCTTTATACTTTCGGTATATGAATACGTAGTTAAGAAATGACTAGTGAGAGCGATAGAAGCTTAGGGATCAATTCATTTATACGTAACTCGTAGCACATTGCGCCTAGAAATCACATAGTTAATTAACCTTTATTTACCTAACAGGAAGTTGGAAAAGCAGTAGATGAAATTTAACATCCAACTACGAAACTACTTAATGGTAGAGAGTAGTTTGTTTATTGTAATAGCAACAACAATAGCTTTATTCCAGACAATAGTTATACAGCATAGATTTCTCAGTGTGATACTTACAAATTTACTCCTTGTACAGTATCCTCAAATTAAATAACCATCGCAGTTAAATAACTTTAACGGTAGCAGTATTATAAACAATAATACACAGCGACCATTTGTTTTTCGGTTATCGTCTAGTTTGTGGATATGTTGTCGTACGGTAGGTTTGATGGTGGGGTATTATTCAGCATAAAAATTTCCAGTCCATGCTTACCATCCCTGTAATACTTATGTAATAAACTGTTATGGACCCAGGAACTCACTGATATCTGTCGTGATATGTTTTGCACTTTTTTGTTAACTTATGTGACGATAAAATTGAGACATTTTGAGAATGCATGAGAGTACATTTTACGATAAGTTGACAGTTTAATAATTAAAACAAGTACAACAAGAGTAATTTGATGTAATATATAATGGAAACGTTTTGGTAGCCAAAATTTTAAGCATACCATCAAGGTCAAAGAGTGTTTTATAAAATGCCATATCCACATTCATTTCTTTTATATTCTTACTATAGAATATTTTTTATGAAATAAGGAAAATCCTAAACGGTTTATGTTGAGATATTATCATCTGATGAATAGTTCGGTTGAAGTTTAACTATAGTCATCTTATTGATGGGTTCACCGACAGAGAGCGTTTTTCTGAGCGCTAAGTAGATTTTTTAAAGAAAGTTGGAGATTAGTATGCATATGAGGTTGGTTTTTGTGTGTAATATATATATTATCAAGGTTGAAATAAATGATTCATCACCTTTTTCGAAGTTCTATTGACTGTGGTAAATTCCACTGCCTAGGTACTCAGATGAGTGATTTTAGAATTCCTGATGCAAATCAAAGGATTTTTTCAGGTTTTATGAATTTTTCCTCATCAAACTTTCTTTTTTCCCATTTCCTAAAATCTTTTTAGGGTTGTATATAGGATGGGTAGATTATTTATTGCTCGAACATCAAGCAAATTCTATTTGGAGGTTTATGGGGATTGTTTTCAGGGTAGTATTCATTACGAACTGACATCATTTGGAGAACCAGTGAAAACCTGGGAGCACTAGCCAGCCCTTTCGTCTTAGTATGTGACTCCTCAGCAGCGTAAACCCGCTACTCCGTTGGAATTCTTTGAATTTCAACCCATTATCCCAATGGTAGCGTGTTCACTGCGAAACCAGAGGGTTCAAGATTCAATCCCTAGCAGGTTCATGGATACGCACTGCTAAGGAGTCCCATACTAAGAAGAAACAGCAGTCAGGTAAATTATTTGTTGATGAGTAAGAATTTATGTGCTCACATTTTGTGTCGGTCATTTTTTATCAGATTTTGCGTTGCTCTAACTCAGTCATAATTTCTTGGTAAATATCTTTATCAAACACTGTCTGCGCGAAAACGGTTACCCTCAAAAGTTCGTTGACAACTACGGTAGGATAGAAGCGAAGGGGATCAAGTGCAGTACGGTTGACAAAAAGCTCGTTTATCTATACTTTGCTTTTAAAGAGGATGAAATTGCCACACGGATAAGCCATACACTGAGTGCTGCAATAAAAACAACCTGTCCAACCGCCAAGTTAGTCTGCGTGTATCAGACTGAATGCTCATTGAAGTAGTTCAAATTGGACACGTTTTCATTTCTTAGTATCTCCAACTGTATCTACCTATTCATATATGTGTGGCAAAGCTCATGTATCGGGCGAACGTAGAGAAGTTTCTGTCCACATTTCTGAATATTTCACAAAGAATTTAAGTCGTATGGGGTTCACAGGGTTTAAATAGTGCAATCGCTCGGCACTTGCCTAATACTGGATATAAAGTAGACGTATTAAAGTCATTCAAAGTGATCAGTAAACAACTGGAACCCACTATTTTGCGGCTTGCTGAAGCAGTTGCAACCAAAAAACTCAAATCTAATCTATGTATTCAGAAAAGTACTGTTGTCAATTTTGCATTACCTTAGTAATTTTAATCTCCTGGATTTATAGGTACCAAATTTCGAGATCAACCTCGCCTGGTTAACTAGTTTACTAGTTACTAGCCGGTCCTAAGCCCGGGTAAAGAGGGAAGGTTGGGCATAGGGCTAGCAACCCTACCCCGTAAAACAAATCTAACCGCTAAAGAAACTTCAAAGCACAAACAAAATATAAAAAATGAAAACAAACTTATACCCCGCTGGAATCGGAGAGGCGAAATGACGCCAGTTGGTGAAAGCCTTCGGGAAGCCAATTGGCCGATGTGTCTTCTCTCGATGAAAGCGAAAGTAAACGTGGGGACATGGAATGTCCGCACGATGTTTGAACCCAGTAAGGCAGCCCAGATTGCAAAGGAGATGAGAAGGTATAACATCGAAGTGCTTGGGATTTGCGAAAGCAGATGGAATGGGAGTGGACTCTCCAAACTGTCAACTGGAGAATCAATAATCTACTCCGGTCACCCAGACGCCAACCACGAGCACACTGAGGGAGTGGCTATCATGATGTCCTCAAGAGCATCGAAGGCTCTCATGCAGTGGGAACCAATCTCCTCCAGGATCATGACAGCAAGGTTCAACTCAAAAGGAAGAAAGGTCACAATCATACAATGTTATGCACCTACAAATAATGCAGAGCAAGAGAAAAAGGAGGATTTCTACAGACAACTTCAATCAACACTGGACAAGACGTCAGTTGGCGATATCAAAATTCTAATGGGCGACATGAATGCCAAACTGGGAGGGGACAATACGGGAAGAGAACTAACCATGGGTCGAGAGGCGCTAGGTGAAATGAATGAGAATGGAGAATTGTTTGCAGAATTCTGTGCATTCAACGATTTGGTGATTGGAGGCAGTGTGTTCAGGCACAAGGATATCCACAAAGCGACATGGACTTCACCAGATGGACACACTAAAAATCAAATCGACTTTATCTCAATCTCAAGAAAATGGAGACGCAGTCTACTTAACACAAGGTCAAGAAGAGGAGCAGATGTAGGTTCAGACCACTATCTAGTGCAAGGAACCTTCCAAATCAAGTTAAAAGCCTTCAAGGAAGCTGGTGATAGACCTCAATTCAAGTACAACACTCGGAAACTGAAGGATGAAACTACAAAGGAGATCTTCAAAGCAGCCATCAAGACAAAATGGGAGACGTCGAGGGACATCCCTGAAGAAACCTGTGTGGAAGAACACTGGAAGTCTTTGAAAGCTGTGTGGAAAGAAACCTGCACAGCCGTATTAGGAAGGAAGAAGAAAGAAGACAAGGAATGGATCTCGACGGATACCTGGAAGCTGATAGAGGAGAGGAGGATGGTGAAGCAGAAGATAAACCAGTGCAAGGATGCTCAACGACAAGAGGAACTGAGCACAATGTATAAAACACTGGACAAAGAAGTGAAGAAGAGTGCACGCAAAGACAAAAGACACTTCTACGACACACTGGCAAGTGAAGCAGAACAGGCTGCAGGTAAGAGAGACCTGACGACATTGTATCAAATAACCAGGTTGCTATCAGGGAAGAGACCAACACAGATGAAACCAATAAAAGATGAAGAAGGAAATTTAATTACAAAAGAAGAGAAACAGAGGAAACGATGGGCCGACCACTTCAAGAAGCTCTTGAATCGACCACCACCTGCACTTCGTCCAGAAATACCACCTGCAGCCGCTGAATTACAAGTGAACATAAATCCCCCAACGAAAATGGAAGTCCTGAACGCCATAAAGCTACTGAAAGGTGGGAAAGCAGCAGGACCAGATGGAATACCGCCAGAAGCACTGAGAACAGATGCAGAGACAACAGCGGACATGCTCACACCACTATTGCAGAAGGTGTGGAAGGAAGAGAAGGTACCTGACGATTGGAAGAAGGGTTACCTTGTCAAACTGCCGAAGAAGGGAGACCTCAGTGCTTGCAAGAACTGGCGCGGAATCACTCTCCTGTCCACCCCAAGTAAAATATTAAGCCGCATCATCCTGGAGAGGCTTAAAGACGCACTGGATTCAAAACTGCGACCGGAACAGGCAGGCTTCAGGAAGTACAAATCATGTGCTGACCAAATTGCAACGCTTCGTATCATCATAGAACAGAGCGTAGAATGGCAATCAGCTCTATACCTCAACTTCATCGACTTTGAGAAGGCCTTTGACAGCGTCGACCGAGAAGTAATTTGGAAACTGCTTCAATACTACGGAGTACCGCAAACCTTTATCCGCCTCATTCAACAACTATATGAAGATGCCACATGCCAAGTAATCCACAATGGGAAGCTCAGTGATGCCTTTGAAGTGAAGACAGGAGTGAAACAAGGTTGCCTACTATCCCCCATGATATTCCTTATTGTGGTGGACTGGATCATGCAGCAAACAGTAGGCAGCGAGAAGAGGGGGATACACTGGACGACGGAAAAGAACCTAGAAGACTTGGATTTCGCCGATGACTTGTGCCTAATGTCACATAAACTTGAAGATCTGCAGGCAAAAACTAACAAGTTGACAGAAGAGGCAGCTAAGACGGGACTTCAGGTGAATATAGAGAAGACAGAAGTGATGAAGATACCGCACCACCACCATCAACAACAACAACAAACTCCAATCACCGTCAACGGGAGAAACTTGAAGGAAGTAACCTCCTTCACTTATCTAGGAAGCACTGTTTCAACTACAGGCGGGACGGACGAGGACGTCAAAGTCAGAATCGGAAAAGCAAGACAGGCGTTCATTAGCCTGAAACCAGTGTGGAGATCTTCTGCACTCAGCATGCGGAACAAGATACGGATTTTCAACACCAACGTCAAGTCAGTGCTCTTGTATGGCTCAGAGACTTGGCGCGCCACGAAAGGTATTTCCAATAAACTACAGACATTCATCAACAACTGCTTACGCTCGTTGCTGAAGATCAGATGGCCAGAAAAAATAAGCAACAAGGAACTCTGGGAACGAAGCAACCAAGAACCTATCACGCAACAAATATGCAGGAAGAAGTGGAGATGGATTGGGCATGCACTGAGAAGGCCGACTGAGGACATCACGCGTCAGGCCCTCGAGTGGAATCCCTATGGGAAGCGACGAGTTGGACGTCCGAGGGTGACATGGAGGAGGTCATGCGAGGAGGAAATGAGAGCTTCTGGGCTGTCGTGGAACCAGGTTCAAAAGATCTCAGAGAACAGAGGTCACTGGAGGCGTGCTACTGAAGCCCTATGTTCCACTCGGAACCCAAGGGACTAATAATAATAATAATAATAATAATAAAAATTTCGAGATCGCATGTAGTCCTTAGTTTGTGAAGTTTATTTTTCGATGTATTTCAAAGCATACTCTTACTTTCTGAATTGTAATCATCTTGTTACTCAATATAGTGAAAACCTGTTGGCCTTTTGTTACACTTACCTAACCATGATTTTTTATTCTAATTATTTTGGATTCGAAGTGTATTTGTGGTTTGTATGTTTCACAGAGCATCTTGTAAATTTTAAATAATACCTTGATGTTAACGTTATTTTGCTCCCTATTCACGACTTTGCTTTTTTTTTTTTAACTAGGCATAGTCTGGAGCGTCGTCAATCTGCGCAGAATATAATCGATGTACATATTAACTTTGATGAATTATTTGATCATTTCCATTTGATTCAGAAACAGTCCGATGAGTATCGTTTATTGAAACTAATAAGTCATAGTAGAGAGGATGGACGAACACAAAATTACCCTGGTCATACACTATCTGCGGATAACCGTTCAGGTAATATTGTCCTTGGAAGTGATCAGATCAAATCAGGTGTTTGTAATGAAAAATCTGCAGATGACATCGGTTTATCAGAGAGTCAGTATAAAATTCATAGTAAACCAACAAATACAGTTTGTTCGGCTAATGAATACCTCACTGAGGTAATTATCTTTGGTTGTTTTTTTGCGCTGTATGATGTGATTTATTTACGTGTTGGATATATACGAGTAGTTGGTAGGAAGATTTCGGCGTTACTATGGCTCATTGGTCTGAGCATTCAACTTTCAATCGGAAGGTCATAGGTCTGAGCCCTGGGATGTGAGCAGTAAATATTGTAAGCTTATGTTGAAAGTGTGTGAACCTGCACATGGTTATTGAGTTACGTTTCTTATATTTCTTTTCATTATCTCTACAATAAGCCGATGGTACCCTGGCTTAACTCATTGATGATATCTCAAGTTGTAACATTAAAGCTATCAGAGTCGTAATGTTACAGAGGATATGGCTCTTCTCGAGGTTATAGTTATATCTTGTTAGTGAGTTCCAGTAAATAGCTATCTGAAAACACTTTACACTACCTTATGACATCAGTTAGCTCGATGATAATGTTGCACGTCAATTAACTGTGTATACTATTTAGGTTTGGAGGATTACTCCAGTTACAACTCGTTAATATGTACATGATTTCTTGTTCTGACAGCTGTCATTGTTGAGTAATTTAAGGATTATCAATAGAGTGAGGGTATCAACTTTTAGAGTTTTTTGAATGAATAGTTGAAATTGTTTGAATAACTTTTCAAAACTCTATGTTCAAGGGTTGTTAAAAAATTGTGAATCAGGTGTCTATAGATATTTATAAGACTATTAGTGACTTATTTAAAAGAAATTACTTTAGATGTATTATGATGTAATGCAGTTGTTAGGGAACATACTCGACGTTGGCCAGATGATTCTAGAATGCAGAAAGTAAGTTTTTATTTAGAAGTTATTTTTTTAATTATCCATTTTGTTGTTATTCTTACGCAGTAAAATTCGATATAAAACTGGCATTCCCAGGTTTTATCATGCAAGGAAAGATGGCCATTGACAACGAAGTTACATTAAATCATAAAATCAATTAGGTTTAAGAAATAGTTTAACTAACTTCATGTCTAGTGATCAGACTTTAATATTTGCATAGGTAGATAGTTGTGCTGTTTCACCACTCATATTTCTAATTTGTACTAATAGTGATATTTCTACTAGATGTGAATGAGTTTTCAAAACCGCTCATTTTTTTGTTTGTCATTCTGTTGAAAATAAATATTCTATGTGAAAATGAGAACCCAAGCAACTTGAGCTATTTTCATCGCTGTTGTCGACTGTTCATATCATAAACAGCTTTGAAAGCAATATTGTTGATCAGCAACAACGCCGTTAATTAGCCTAAAACAGTTTAAGCGTTGTCAGACTCTCCTTAACTGTTGTTTTAAAAGACTAGTCAGCTTCGCCAAAGTTTCTCTCAGCTTTATCTACTCAGTCGATTATCGACATTACAAACAGAATATGATCACCAGCATCTGAACAGGTACTGTCTGCACCAAGTAAGGTAGAAAGTTATGCTATACTTCACTTGCTATTCTATTTACAGCTAGCTTATGAGATTTGTTTTTATTATACGTCTACAAGCAACACTGTATTCTTGTCTCGTATTGCATATTGCAAACCTAACTTTTTTATTTTATAAATATTTCAGAGTTTTGCCAGTCTTGGTATAAATATTGACTATGGCGTCCCGCTGAACAATACAGAATAACTGCTTTAAAAAAACTTTTGCACTGTTGGCATTTCCAAGGATGAAGGATGTTAATAAATAATTACGTTTGTGTATAAATGCATGTTGAATTGTTCACAGTTTATTTTTCTAACGCTTTTATGATTTCATGATGAGTGATTTCAAATATGACTTTTCTACAGCCACTTCTGTTACTTTCATTATTGATGAATTTTCTTTTCTGTATTATGAATATTGGGTTTTCTGTAATCTTTTGTACCTGTCTATCTGTCTATTTACCTACCTGTTACCTGTGATGAACATAAAATTTGGTTTCTCCTTATTGTTTTATTTTAAAAAAGTAAATATTTAGTTTAAATAGAATTTTAAAGGTTTATCTCTTTATCCAAGTGTATACTTAAGATATACACTTTTTTAGTATTGCTGGTCGCCGATCGACCTATTTTTGTCAAAGTTGACATGAGTGTGTTTTTGATTTCCACCTTATTTTGTGCTAGATGGTTTAAGTTGAACAAATGTGCTATAATTCGGGATTAATATGTTCAGATATCACCAGACATTCAGATGTGGTTGTCATACCGAGTAATTTCAGTTCGAAAGTGGGCAGGCTAAGCCGGGCAGAAAGGCACTTTAGGAATCCCAGTCAAATAAACGGATAATGGCTTCTGCCTGCTACAACTGTGCTAGGACAAATATTTCGTAACGAATCTCGGCATCCACTTTACTACATTGAATTTTTAGTAGAGGAGGAGACTAGTTATGGAATCTTCATTCATGGAATCAAATCTTCAAATTCTAATTCTTTAGGAGGATGCTTCTAGATATTTCTCACCTACTGTTTAAGCAATGAAATTTCAATTCTTACATCATCTATCTTGTATAGATTTCGAGTTAGACTGTTTTTTCTGGGCATTTCTTTCGGCTATCACCTGTCTGTTGCTGAAATTTGTATTTCGATAAACGTTTCTGTTTTTACTGAAATCTAATCCCTGTTACTTAAGCTATCATAATTGTCTGTAAAGATTCTAAGTTAAAATAGTAACCTTTTATTGCTTGATACTGGTAGTTTCTCGTTGCTATACAGGGTGGCTCTCTTGCCTCAGTGGGCTAGTGGGTAACGCTTTAGCGTTTGAAAAGATGGGTACTAGTTTCGAGTCTCAGTGGGAACAAACATCACTGTCTGAGGTGCGGTACATCCAGCTGATGATTCTCAAATAGCAGGAAACGCGCGTCCTGGACTCACTCAAGATGAATAGTAACCTTTTGTTAGACATTATTATTATTTAGTGCTTACTGCTGTTGAGTTAAAGTCGACTCACTCGTTGTCATTGTACGTGATTTTTGTACAAACTATCTGTCCATGAAGTGAGGCGTAAACAACTTCATGTTCTAGGTGCGAGTCAAATGCTATCGATCACTTTACGATGTTGTAACTCACCATTATGTCGAAATAAAGCCGTTGATCCAGATCTCGTACTTGCTTGTTCTCATAAACAAAGTTTATCTGAAAATTCTAGGGATCTAAGCTCCCGTCAGATATCTGGACTCATTTCAACCAGTGCTGAAGCCAGAAAGTCAACCACTGAGATTTTCCCGACTAGCTTGGCGGCTAAATTGTGAAATGATCTGTAGAATTTGGTCAGTATTTAGGCAAAGATATCATAAAACTGATTACTCTTTGATCATCAGACAATGCATGTTTTCTAGTCCTACAAAAGGTCAGTTCTGGCATGAGTAGCTCAGTACTACGGTATGTGATGCGGACTAGGGTTCTGGTGGGATATCAATCCCCCAATGTTGCTGATTCTCCTTATTGACAAGTGCCTTCAAAGCATGAAACTTAGTCCTAAGCTTTCCCACTGACTATCTTTAACCACTTACATCTATTTCACTACAAAACACGTCAGTTTGGGTGAGCAGATTAATAGTGGAAAGTACCATAATATGTTGGACAAAGATAGTTATTGAAACTTCTCTATTAACTCCCAAACAGGATGAAATGAATGTCATGAACTTTAATTTTCGACATTTCAGAGCTTGCTAAATATGTGACATCTTCAAAGAGCTAAGATGGATGTTTTTCGTGGAGTGTTGAGAAACGGAATTTAGTATTTATATCTTTCTATTCACAAATCAATGCGTTTTAATATGAATCTCGTATCCTTGCTGGGACTTTTCATGATATCTTAAAACTACAATGTAACTGTACAGCTGTGATGAGGAGCTACGAAAAAATGTTTTCGCTGTTGATCAGTATTTGGTCTTATCTGAATTTAAGTGATGTGAAGTTATATGCTTATGAGCTCCAGTAAATCAGTGTCCTATATTCTCTTAAACTTTCTATATTTGCAAAAGACTGAAATCCCATATGGATAATAGCACGCATTTCAATTTTTTGGATATTACACGTGACCTGATGACTTAGGGATTCTAATGAAACTTTGTTCCACTTCCTGTCAGCATCACTGGGTGTTTGGATGACAGAACATTGAGTCAGTGGTATTTAGACATTCAACATGACTCCAACATCTACGCAAGTTTTTAGGTTCAACTATTACATGAGCAAATGAAATTCACTAATCAGAGAAAGACCGCATAGTTTAATTTATTGTAAATATTAATTATGGATATCTATCAAAGTGATAATATATACAGATGAACTACTGCTCAGTGTTACGTGTTTGAAAATGAAAGTAAATGTGTCCGACGCGCGGTAGCTAGACGTCTTCAAAAATATGGGGTGTTGTACTTCCTTTGAGATTTTGATCTGTGTTCAGAATCTGTTTCCAGTTTTACTGTTGCTTCCATCGGGTTAAGTTTTCTGTGTCACGGTTTAATCTTTCACATAATTCAGTTAATCTCTTTACCTAAAAGTTAATATTATGGTATTTCATGCCGATCAAATTTAAGTTATTCATGCATATACTGCCTAATTAGAAGTGATCTTGGTAAAAACATTTGACAGTAAACGTTTACCTGGCTTAAACTAACTGTAGTTTGTAATCGTTTTCCCTCTTTCATTTGGTCTCCTCTGTTGAGCAGACGAATATTTTTCTTGCCTATCAGTGTGGGTTTAGACTATAATATTGTAGAAAAATGAGTTTAAAGTTTTCTTGTGATAGGATTAAGCTAAGCCATCTATATGATGCCACGAAAATGTCAGTAAGGCATTTGTAAACATGGTTGTAAATTAGGTTCTACTTTTTATGACTTTCTCGTTAATATAAAAGTCATTTTGATTCCGATAAAAGCGAAATAGTTTTTACTGATACTTTTAATTTTCCGTTGGTATACTGGGTCGAATTGCTTGACATCTGTCGGCAGACAGGCTTCTATGCGCATGCCTACCCGAATATTCTTTATGTTGTAGTCTATTTGGTGACTAGTAGTGGAATCTAGGACTCGTATTTCATCGTTTCACATTTCGCCAAGTGCACTATAAGACGAAATAATGAAAAGCCTATCATCAGAGCGAATTACCTTAGCACCTGAATGCCCGAAATTAATTGGATGTTAATAATTTACAAGGTGTATAAATTCCTCGTTGAATATAATACATCAGATTGTTCTTTTTGAACTTGTTTTAATCATCCAAACTCATTCAAACCGTTTTATATACTCTCGCATGCTTTAAAAATGCTTTGGACCTATTGTTTTGCTAGGCAACAGTAAAACTATGAGAGAACGTCAGGCACAACAGTGCGACGTGGCTACTACTAATTTTCATGCTGGCCACCGAAATTGCATATGCCTACAGACTAGACGACAGTCTATGAACGGCTTGTTTTCAATCATTATTTTTCGTAATGTTGTTATTACTAATATTAATTAGACGTTCTGATTATTTCATAGTGGATATATTGCATATTGAGGACTTCATACTGTAGTCAAATGGATCTTCAGGAATAATGTGATTATCATTATATAGTGTGAACAGGTTAATATTTCGTTGTGTATGCCATCCTGCTATACTATGTTATGCAGCGATTTGATTCGAGTACAATAATCAGCATTTAGAAAGACAAACACTAACAACATGGGACTTGATATTGGATCTCTGTCCAGCGTTAGGCTTAGTGGATAATGCTTTGGTGTTTGGAGCGACGGTTTCTGGGTTCAAGTCTCAGCGAGGACAACACCTCTCACTGAGATACAAAGAAGTCCAACTGACGAGTTCCAAATAGGGAGTGACTGTCATCCTGGATTACATTGCTAGTCACCATTATCAATAATTACAAATTTGAAAATACCGGCAGTATCGAGGCATCTTCTCAGGAGTCCATATGCTAATAGTGGCCAGTCAATTGAGTCCAGTCAACACGGAGATTCACAAGCTACGACGTCAAATAGGTTATTTGTTCAGAATGCTTCATTTTTGAAATAGAGTATTTAGGATACGTTCAACTAACAGATGATATTGTGTTTTCAAGCATATATAGCTGACCATGGTGTTATAGTAGTTTAGAGGTCAGGTAATCCATTTTTGTATAAACGTATTGGTGAGGATTTATTTCATACCTATTGAATATCGGTAAAGCAACTTTTTAAATGCATATGTCTGGTTGAATTCAATGAAACATTAGAAGCAAACCGAATGTCGAAAAATTAAAGAAGTAATTTGCATAAAAACAACGTAGTTTTTTCATCACAATAATTTGAATTTTTACTATGTTCTTTTTTTCATTATCGATTTTTTCGATAGAAAAAATGTAACTCAGTCAATTATCGTTTGTTTGATAAATATGTACATTCTTATCAGTAATCGGTTATAGAAGTACGTTGTAACAAGCGAACTAAGAAAAATCCAACACACAAATGAAGAGAAGGGTTTTCATTCCTTGAAATGAAAGAGGGAAAGGGAAACATCTGTCTTTTTCTTTTCTCGCAGTGTAGCGTTATCTTTTGTCTCTCCCTCATTTCTCACCATTGTGTCTCTCTCGTTTCGTTAGTTTTGACGAAAAGTGTAGAATGTTGAGGACTTGTCTGTTGTTTGGGGATACAGACTGATGTGGATAAGTTATTCATTCAATGTAGTTCGTCACGTAAAATGCGATGGTGGGAAGAGGGGTGATTAAACTCAGTAGAAGTGGCTGGCTCGAACCTGAAATTTCAACACAAAACAATTTAAGTCTAATACACATGATGGAAAATATTTGTAGCCCAGGTGGACGGTCTTGATTGTATTGTGTTCTCTGAGCTGGGTTGTTTAATCGTGGAGCTTTCATCGTCTTTCTAGACGACATCATCATGACTTCGTCTACATGAACACCAATTGGCTACTAAATGTCATGACATTTCATCACTCATCTCAATGCACATGGATAATCATGACATGAATTCAGTTTTGACAATGTAGGAATTTTGGACAGAATAAATCAAGAATATCAGAGAATTCCTAGAAGCTTGTCATTCTGGTCAGGCAGCAATCAATAGATGTATAGATATAGACCAAATCTGTCAACCAATGGGGAAAATGATAAACGACAGAAAGGTCAGAGGCCAAGCAGAAGAACAGCCAACAGGAAAGTCTATACAGTCAATTTCAAACACAATCAAAGCGAACAACCAATCACAAATCAGTTCTTCAGGGCAAGCTACTGAATCCCTCTTGGAGAGATATTGACAGCTCACTTCATACTGAAGTTATTGCTGATGATGTGGTCTAGCAAGACGATGAAAGCTTCACGATTGAACAACCCATCTCAGAGAATACAATATAATCAAACCTAATCCATATATGCTACTGTAAATGTAAGTTTATACGTTAAAACTACTGAAGCTGTGGCGAATTCCGAACGGGGATTTAGCTGGATTTACAAAACCATTCAAAAAAGAAGGAAATATAATGACCGCCTAAACCAAATGAATCCTCCCAAGAAAATTGTGACACGAATTGGCTGTTTTAACAAACAAATTATTCGGATTCAAAAATGTATTCACATGCTGAGTTATTCTAAAGTGGTGAAGACTGAACGATCATAAAACCGCCTTT